GTCCATCTTGGGTGGCCCTGCACGGTATAGCTCATGGCGTCACTGAGTTACACAAGCCTCTTCGCCACGACAAGGCAGTGATCCATGAAGGGGCAGGTATCTTTGAAGCAGCCGAAAAATTTGGCCCATGTTGATCCAGATCCAAAACATTCTTAAATTGAAAATATTGCCACTGTTGTGAATTAGGAAGACCAAATTTTATTTGAAGCCAAGAAGAATCCTCAAAATGATCTTTATATATTAATTGATCTAAAGTAACTAGTCCAACTTCCTCCCATACTTTCCAGTGGAACATTTTGCCTCCTATTTTTAAATATAATTCTTTCAAAGAGTTAAATACTCATTTCACTCCTGGAAATAGACCCCCCCTTTTTTTTTTACTTTGTATTGATCCAAGAACTTGACGTCTTTGATAGAGATTTCCTCACTTTCCAATGACGCCAATTGTGGATAATTCTCTAGTAAATTTTCATCCCACATAATCATTGATAGAATATAAGCCCAATGATATTTTTGCAAATCCAGTTGATTAAAACCACTGCAAACAAATCTGTGAGGGATTTATATTATTCTCCTGGGAAGCCATCTGGACCAGGAACTATTCCATTTTTCAACAATTGAGTCAATTCTAGTACTTTTTGATGTAACAAAGGAGCTTTCAAAATACCAACATTATCCTGCATTATTACTTCTCAATTATTGATTCCCAGCTTAATATTAAAATATTGTTGTAGAAACTAGTCTCTTGTCTCCTTCCTAACAAAGTGCACAAGTATATCTCTTGGTACATTTCTTAGCTTTGCATATCTTGTATTAATTCTATATACTTTGTCCACTTCTGTATCCATATCGTCATCCATTCCAAAAATGTTAAAGATTCAACAACCCTCTCTCTTATATCTTTACCAGGTTCCTCTTGAAGAGCTCTCAAAATTCTTTCTCTCTTAATTCCAGCAGTGCCACATTACCTAAATCTTTTTCCATCTCTTGATGTATTATTTCTGCTTTATTTTCCAAAATCTCCATTTTGTCTTTAATTTGTTTAACCTCTCCAATTTGTACTACAGATTCTTCAAAAATTTTATTCATTTTTTCTTCCATATTTGCAAATATTTCCTCCATTCTCCCTTTGAGTGAAGCCAGATCTCTCTTCACAGTGATACCGTAACATTCTTCCCCAATTCTTCAAATATTCTTTGTAAAATCTCTGGTGTAATCCCTTTTTCCGTTATTTGCTCTGTTTATGATAGTCTCCTCCTTTCTGTGATTTTCACTGCTTTTCTGGTGTCAGCTATTTCTCTTCTTTAATTTGTAATCCAGAAAAGAGAAGTAAAAGTAAAAGAAAGGCTTCCCCCCCCCTTTTCTCTGTATTTAGTCCCATTTGGGACTCTGTAATTCTATGATCACATGATCTTTTGCAACTTTCCGTATCTCTTTGTTGAACGAAACCAACCAATTGTCTTTTTAAGCAAGTTTAAACAGTCCTTGTTCCCACAGAGGTATGTATTATTTATTTAATTAATTAATTCAAAAGTAATTTAAAGTAAATAATATTCCAAGTTTAATTGTCCCCTTAATCCATTTTAAACTTTCATAATTCAAACTCTTGGCACACTTTTTGCTTTTAACTGTTTTTAAATCCTTGCAGTTATTTCTTTACTTTTTACTTTAATCTGAGTTGAAGGATCACTCACAAAGTAGTTTAGTTGCTCTGCTACTTGGAAGATCTTTATAGCTTTTAAAATTATTGTAATCCAAACATGCACTAGAAAGTAGAGTGGGCTAACCCAGTGTCCTTAAACAGGCTCCACATGAAGCTGTGAGCTTGGTATTTCTTCTTTGGCTCCCAGCGCTCTACTCACAAGTTGCCTGCAGAGTCCCTCCTGATCTTGCGGGTTTCCTCGCAAAGACCTGCCTTCTAGAGCCCGAGTGGGCAACCTCCTGGCTTCTCCTTGTCTGGAGATCCTCTGTTGGCCCAGGCTTGCTGCCTGGTTGTCAGTCTCCACCTTGGTGTCGTCTCCGCTGTTCGGAGACATGTTAGTCTGCCATTTTCTCCACTTGGAAGTAATTTTAGAACTAAATAATAGTACATGTAGTCACCAATCACCAAAAGTCTGGGCTCATGACTCTCAAGGAGTCCTGCACAAGCCTCAACTTAATTGCAGCAACAAAGATTGCTTGGTGCTGCCACGGCATGGGCTGAGCAGAAGCACCCTGTAACAGGAGTTCCCTCTCAGTCTGAGCTGCAGGAGTGCCAAGTAACCTTGCTGCTGCAATTAAGCTGAGGCAGCCAGCTTGTGCCTTTTCCCCAGACAGCAGGCAGGCAACCTTGCATTGGTAGCTGAGCTGTTGCGGACTTCAGAACCTCCAATGCACGAAGGAGCGCCTCTCTTCAAAACAGGTTGAATTAATTCCTCTCCTCCTTTCACAACAGATTGTATTCATTTGTCTCCTCACTCCAAAAAAATTTTAATTTTCTTCCTCCCTTCAAAAAAAAGGTGGCTGAAAAAAATCAATGGAGGATTCTGGAATGGCCAATGCAAAACCTGGATCTAAATCCCATCAGTGATTTGAAACAGGCTGTGCAATCAAGAAACCCCTCAAACATCACACAGCTGAAAAAATTATGGGAAAAAAAATTCCTCCCAGTCAATGTAAGACTGATCGACAGTTATAAGAAATGCCTACTTGAGGTTGTTTCTGCTAAAGAGGGCAATACCCTCTATTAGAGCCAAGGGTGCACTTACTTTTTCCATGGAAGGAAGGAAATGGCATATCTGTTATTTTTTTGTTGAATAAATGATTGCAAAGTCATAGTTTTTTTTCAACTACATCTCCTTTAACTTTATATATTGGTTGAATGAAGATAAAATATTGATATATCCACCTGTGTTAAAAAAGAAAAAACTTTACATGAGGTATACTTAACTTTTTCACATAACTGTATTCTAGGCAACAGAACTTTGGAGAGATTGTGGATGGGATATGCTTTCTTTAAAGTATTTTTTTAAAAAATCACAACATAATAAAAATATTGTCTTGATTAAATATTTTACGATGATTGTATATGTTATTTAAGGAAAGAAGAAGTTATATATGACACAAAACAGCAGTGCTTCTACTGCTTTTTTTCTTTTACTGGGGATTTTAAATGGATAATTTTGTTGAGAACCCAATTTTTTGTTTAGGTTCTTTCAGATCAATGAGAGAGTAAAAATAGCTTATTATTTTCTCCTTCAAAATATTACTAATGAAAGGCAAGATAAGCAAGGATAGATTAAAAAGTAAGTATTATTTTAAATGAATAGGACTAAAGACCTTTCTTTTATGCAAACACATGCTTTTTTAATTTGATTCGAACTATGAAAATTTTCTCTGCTTTCTAGGGAGAAGGAGGAGCATCTGACTCAGGTGATGGAGGCACAGAGACTGCAGGCCCAGCAGGCTGATGCTGCCCTGGAGGAGTTTAAGCAGCAGGTGGAGCTGAACTCAGAAAAAGTGTATGCAGAAATGAAAGAGCAGGTGAGGAGGTCACAGTGCCAGCCTTTCTGCAACTCTCTGTCTCAGTGGGATAGCGTATTCTCATTTTATATTGCTAGAAACATATTTCACTGGAATTTGGAACATCAGACTCTTTCACTATGTAGTAATTTTGCCAGGGAATCAGAAGAAAAGATGTCAGCAGTTGATTAATCTTTTAAAACAGAATTTTCCAAAACACTCCATGGTTGTATTACTGAATAGGATTTTTCTAAATTAATAAATTATTAACTCATATCCTATTTGAGGGTTGTGTTTTATAGCTCATTGTTTTACCTCCCTCTTTTTCTAAAACCCAACTCAGCCCTTCCCTCCAACTATCTTTCTGAAAAATATTTAGATTTCTGAAGTCAGTGTTGCTAGGATGTTTGTGTGATAGTGGAATGATGTCAAACATGTTTCCCTTTTTTATTACTAAAGCCCCTTGTATTTCATTGTAATCTTGCAGACTAGATAAGAAACAGTATTTCTTTTATGAGGGTCATCCCTTTGGCATAACTCCCCTAGGGTAAATAAAAAAGGCAAAAATGATAAATGTTTTTTAAGTGTGATATATTTACAGTAAATAAGGTATTTTAATAATTATAAAAATACAGACATGGCCAAAAGTATTGGTACCCTTCCCCTTTTTCCCAAAGAATCCCAATTTGTTATCATTTTCATTTGTTTATTATTTACAAGAGAGCCAGTTTGGTGCAGTGGTTAAGGCATCAGTCTAGAAACCGGGAGATAATGAGTTCTAGTCCAGCTTTAGGCACAAAGCCAGCTGGGTGACTTTGGGCCAGTCCCTCTCTCTCAGCCCTAGGATGGAGGCAATG